AAACTTATAGAAACAGACATCCCTCCACAAAGTTGGGCAAATTCTGTTAAACATATAGAAAAAGCAGAACAATCGTACATCCATATTACAAATAATATAGAACAAATAGTAATTAGAATAGGCGATGATAGCGACAGTGATACTGATATATTATGTGAATAGTTGTAAGTAATTTATGTAGGTAATAAAAATAATTTGTTGTTTTATTTAATATTTAAACATAAATACATACATACATAAATAAATATTGTTTAGTATCTTTCCTGATAAAACCCCAAATAATTACATTCTAAGCAAAGTACGGACCTGATCCGCCATATTTCATTCTTACAGCTTGCCCAGGTCTTTCCTTAATTCGTATCAGTTAGTCACTTTCTTATATCTATGAACAGACTTTAATAAAAACTATTCAAAAGTGGTGATGGTAAAGTTACTTAACCAAATTTATTAACAATGAACAAAAATTCACTCCGTAGTGGTTCCCTTTCAATTCTTAGCTGTTTGTCAAGGAAAAACAAAGAAAATAATTAATTTCGGGCATTTAATTCAGTGAGTTAATTGAGCTGCTACAACTTGTAACGCTTTCGACGCATAAATCCTTCACTTTATTTGAAAACTTAGTGCTCCACTGCAACTAAAGCAACCAAACCAAAATATATTTTTCAACTTTTAGATTTAGGGTTGTTAAAAAATGATAAAACGGGATTCTTCTAACTGTACCTTTATCGCTTAAAACATGTGCACCACCACCACAGTTCCGTCGTTCTGTTGTTCCTCTTAGTTTATGGCCAAAGCAAAAAACACAGACCACAACCAAAAGGCACAGAATACAAAATAGACATTGCTAACTTAACTCTTAAAATATAAAATCATAATTTAACAAGGGTCTTCTAATTATCATAGTTTATAGCGATGGCATGTGTCTGCTAGGTGACGCAGGATTTTTTTTTAAGTCAGTAAGAATATCTTGATTTTGTTGCTGATATTCACTTGTGTTTATGACCACCGCAGCATTTCCTTTCAAATCGAATTTGTATTTCGTATTCGTATTTATTTTATCTGAATACGTTCAGACCTTTGAAACTTAGATTTAGATTAGCTCTTTGAGATAGCAGTTTGTTTAGTATAGACTCGACATTTTAAATGATTTTTTTTTGATAATACGTCGGGCAAGGATGAAACTTTTGCAAGAACTGTTTGATAGATTCAATACCGTCGACGTTAGTTTTTCTGTTAAGAAGATAGACGAAAATTTTCAACTTTGGAATGAATCATGTTTGTGAGCTTAGTTATATATCAAAGCAATAATAATGGAAATTTATGTAGCGAAAAAAAACTTTGCGGTTACTTGTTAGGTGTCATGTATGGAAAGATGTGAGGGTTGAACTACATAGCTATTAGATGGCCTAGGAGCAGTAAATATACTAAAAAATAACAACAGCTATGTTATTCTCATTACCGACCTCCACCTTACGCCATTTTCTTTCTAAACAGCGGTCTGTGTGGTGATTGTTGTGGTTGGTCATATTTGGAACAGAGAACACAAGCAGTTACTATTAAAAATTAACAACAACGAACCCTATTAGACCCGGTATGCCGCAAGGTATCATTCTTGGACCCTTGCATTGTATCATTTATTTAATTATTATTTATTTAATTTAAATTTAATTACCTATAATGTTATTTTTAATACATACTTTTCTATTTTTATCTATATCTTCGGCGTATTTCATGTTGATTTTCGAACGCTGTATGGCTGGTTGAAAGCGAGATTTGAAATATAGGCCTTCTAAAAAAATCTAAGCTACACAGCGTTACCGAGAATGCTGTAGTCGGTTCGGCCCAAAAGAGTGTGTGTTACAGGTGGATAATATTGTAAATAGATACAAAACAAACATAATAAATGCATTACAGATACAAAAATTAGAACAACATGTTTTGAATTTTTATTTGTCAAAGAAACTTCTACAGGCGTCGGTTGTTTGTAAATCTAACTTTCTGACGTTGTTCGTCAATCATCCTGTTGGCTTCTTCAGAGCTTAACTGAAACTGACTGACTCGCATTGTACTCTATACCTGCTTATATAAAATTTGTTGTTGATTACGCCAAAAGTTGAAAATCTTCGTTTATCTTCTACCCAGAATCACATTCAAAAATTTGAAAAACTAATGTGAACTGTATTGAATATATGAAAATATTCTTAACTACCAAACACTATGGTAAATGTGTCATCGCTCCAACATTCTCCAAACCTCCTAAATCTAAGATTTAAAGGTCTGAACGCATTCAGATAAAGGAAATGCTACGGTCGTCATGATCAAAAGTGAATATCAGGAAAAAATCAAGATATTTTTACTGACTTAAAAAAAAGATCGTGCGTCATCTAGCAGGCACATATATCTCTATAAACTATAATAATTAGAAGACTCTAAATCTAAAAGTTGAAAAATATATTGTTTGCGGATTTGGTTGCTTTAAATAAGTGAAGGATTTATGGGTTGAAATTAATTCTTTTCTTTATTTTTCCTTGACAAACAGTTCAAAATTTAAAGGGAATTACTACGGAGTGAAATTTTTCCTCATTGTTAATTGATTTGCTAAGTTCCTATACCGTCACCGCTTTTGAATAGTTTTTATTTGCTTCTCTAAATAATAAAAGTAACCTTTGCAAAATTGTCTTTTGCGTCTCCATAAGAGTTTGCTTTATGGAAAAATTTTAAATACAAGTTTTATTTGTATGAAACTGTGAAAATAGTTTCCATTATACACGTTATCTCATAAGTTTCTCGCAGCACCCGACTTAATTTTAAATAGAACCCCAGCTGTGTATTTTATTTTTGTATATCTGGCAAAATTTAGCTTTTTTTTAAGTCTAAGTAGTTTCTTACTTAAAATTTAAAAAAATTTTGAAAGATTATGATATTGTTTTGAACGCTGTGCTTTTTTTTTATTTCCATTTTCCATTATTGTGTTTCCTTCTACTGCATAAGCGTTTATCAAGAGTTAAAATGTTACAAAACTTACTGCTTTAGGGGCTAAAATCTAAGGGCTTTAAATCAGGCGTGGTTGGTTTCAGAATCTTTTAACTAATTCGACATTAATAAAACCTGTAGTAGCTAAAAATTTCTTGAAATCTAAACTAACTGCAGAGGACTATTCGATTTCCATGACATCCCAGATGTTCCTTTTAAAGTAAGGAAGTTGTTGTATGTAGCTATTTAGCACTTACATTTTTCCGATAAAATTAAATGTTATGGAGATATAAAATTTTTTCTCAGTGGTGGGTTATTCTTAATTTTGTTAATTTGTGGATCGTTTGTGTTGTTAAAATGTACTTTTTAATGAAGGCAGATATGGTACAACTTAATTTTGAAAAGTATATAGGCGATGTGTATGAATAAGAGTCGTGAAAGGCCACAACAAATTGTTAAATGGCAATTTTGCTTTGTTATACTAGACCTACACTTCTATTAACTACTACACTTCTATTAACAGAAAAAAAAAACATAATTTCGCCTCAAAAATATTTTTTTTCAAATATATAAATGTTATATCAATAGAAGTTTAGAATTAACAGTAGAATTCAAATATGAAGAGATATATGTTCGAGATTTTCCATAAGAAAATTTATAACTTTTTTACACATTTATGGGGCATCCTGTTTTCATGAAAATAAACTTTATAAAATAAAATTACAACGGTTTTCAATATATGAACCACCAACTATTGGGACACCCTGTATAATAAATTATACCCATTGTTACGGACCTTTGCATTGAGCAAACAGAAAAGTAGTAATTAATGATTATAATACCAACAGCCGCGTTTTTTTGCGGCTGTTTTGAAAATTACAAATTATATTTAATTTTCGTAACTGCTTTCTTGATGTCGATATTTTTGTTACACCTATTAATTGTTCTAAATGCAGGGCAAAAAAATATTTTCAAAGACATAATACGACATAGAACACCCTAATGAAAATGTAAACTTCTAATAGTCTTCATATTATTATATCACTTTGCATCATGCAATATTCACTTTGTGCTGGTGAGTGCTAAAATTTAGATTTATTTTTAAACCTATCTTTCTTGGATACAACGGGGGACGCTTTTTTTGGTACTTTGTACTGTACGCAACCTAAATTGTTAATGAATAAATAAATAAGTATAATTTTAATGAAAGCCCTATTTTCATATATGGTATTATAAGCCAAACTCTGAATAAACGAAGCTAATACTTTTACAGTGTTAAACACCGGACGTGATGACCACTTAACAATTTTCAATAGGAACCTTGAGTATTTAATACAGAAAATCGGGTAAGAGGAAAATAACGACCTTATATTTGTCAATACTGTCTAAATAAATGTTAACGTCAAAATGCTATTTTAACAATTGTGCCCAGAATGCCAGAATCCTAGATTTCAATGCCTTAAAATGGAAAAAGAAAAGTCCGGACGATTATGAGCATAGCAGACCGGGATAAATTAGTTCTCTAGTTTTCGTGTTCGCTATTGATTATTGCTGATTTACTTATTTACTATTTATAATCTTCACAATATCAATAAGAAAACCTTTATTTTTTTAAATTTTATTTGTCTCTCTCCCTCTGCGTTTTATCTAATTGGCAATTACTCTGGGCGATTTGAGGTATAGTAGGCTACACCATTGAAAGTTTGTCCTTATTTGCGTTTGTTTGAGCTTATGGTAGTAAACTATTCCCGTCCTTATCTGCCACGCCAAGATTTTTCAAATCAAACAAAGACGGCAGCAATTGTATTGATCATTTTCCGTCAAATGTTTGTGTGTCAGTCTGAAGTCATTCACAAATTTGTTATTTCGTGTTTTGGGTGTGTGCGTTTTACAATAAACTCAATTCTTTTACAACGAATTCGATCAGGTATTTACATTCTATTGGAATTGGTTTGTTGTTAACGACGAATTGGTACTAACTTTGGTTAGTAGAAATGTCCTTAACCTATTTTTCGCTTTTTTTTCAGACTTCCTCTACAACCACAACCACTACGATGACCACACCAGCGAAATTATACGGAAAAGATCTCAGTGTGTACGAGGACATTGATGTAGATACCTTGTTAGATAAATTAACACCCGAAGAAATCAATATATTAGCCAAAGAAGTAGACCCCGACGTAAGTAGCACTTAATTAAAATTAAGGTTAATTTGATAAGATACCCGTGTAGACGTCGTTGAACCACTTGAACAGTTTTGTTTGCAAGGAATTATATTTATTGCGGTGTTTCTAAAAATAATGATTACATACCTGCACCTGCTATAATATAAATTTGTGAAATATTACCCTTTGTTAAAAGAATTGGAGTTAATGAATATGTGTACACCCTAAGCGGGCAGTTTGCCAAAATGTTGGTTAAATGATGTTTAGAATACAATTTTAACACTCACCAGAACCTAATATTTAATGTTTCCCCAAAAAACTGATCACCATTTGTTGTATCCTGAGTGTCGCCCTATTACCACATTTGTTTTGATTTAATTCTGAATAAATTTTAATTGAAAAATTTAACCTATGAATAAAATAAGCAACACATCAGCAGTTTGTTTTAACTGTAGTTCTTCTGGTTTTTTTAGGATTCATTTTTACCTCCCTCTCAAAGGACAAGTTACGATTGTGATAAACAACCCACTGGACCCTTAAATAGAAAACAATTAATCGAACATATAAACAGAGAAGCCATCGAAACTCCGGACATACCTGAATTGAAGCCCTATGTTGCCGGGGTGATACGAGGGAAAAAGTGGATTCCACCTCCTCCTCCGAAGAAGGAAATTGAAGCTGATGAAAAGATTGCCGTAGATTTAGGAGATGAGTATGAACAGGCTTTGACTCATGCAACCCAAGAGGAGATCATTGATTTGGCAGGTAATACAAAATTTCAAAATATTTGATTTTTTTTTTTGTTAGCAATTATTAACTTATATATTTTATTGATTCCTGCTTGGTATCTGGTTGAATGGAACCCACCTGGTTGGTGAGATGAAATGCACAATGATTTTCGATCGTTATTGTAGGCAAATTATCTTAGATTTAAATACAATTTTCCAAAAAAATATGTATTAAAGGTTATACATTAAAGCTTAAAGGTTGCTATTTTGGCGAATAACTAATAATAAGTAGCCTTATTGTTTTATCCATTTATAACAAAAAAAATTGGTAGCAAAGTGCTAAAAAAGTCATACAACTGATACTGCCAGATACTGTTACAAATTTAGTATAAAATTAGCAGATAGAAAGGGAAACAAACAATGCTTTTAATGGGAGTGGGAGGGAAGAAATGAAAGGCAAGGGAGTATTTAAGTAAAAGTTTATTTAATTTAATAAAAAAAAGCAATTTTTAAATTCATTTTTCAGTGCCAATAGCTTCTGAGAAAAGTCTATTAAGGAGATATATTGATTAATCATATCTTCAATTTGATATGAGAAGGGTCTTTTTAAATGCCCTTTTCCATGATAGAACTTTTATAACTTTATTTACCATTCAAATAACTTACAAAACTGCAAACGCAAGTCATAAAAATTTCAATACAATTATATTAATAAATCCTAGTACTAAATTGACATAAATTCAATGACAGGCAAAAAAGAATACATTTGCAGCTATTTGGAGTTACTTATATCACTAACTAAATTAATAAATGCCAATTGCACAGGGTGTCGGAAATAAGGTTCCTCATTCCCTTAACTCAGAAACTACGAACGATAGAAATCAAAATTAAATAGAAAAGTTGTATAGTTTCATCTACATTTTTAAATTTAATTTTTATTTTAATTTAGATATTATGGCATTATTATATTAGGAAAATGTTTAATGTCACCTAAATTTTTGGAAATTTACATCTTAAATATTAACTCAGTATATAACAATAGTCCTTCTTGCATAAGGAATCTTAACAAAATTAAATAATGAAGGCTCTCATATAGAAAAAAAATGTTAATTTTTTTGGGACACCCTTCATTTTTGATATAAAATTGAAAATTTATTATTTATTAGGCTTAGACACTCTGTACATCAAGACATCAGCACCTAATTAGATTTAGGTATTCATAAGTGTTACAAGTATTACCATAATTCATTAATAATTACAATTAAGGTTTAAAATTACCTTAGTCTGACAAAATATTTGTTGAAATATTTAAATAATAACAAAAATAAATAATATAAGCATTATTCAACCTTATATTATTATATTATAGGCCCTTTTAATTGAAAATGAAAATTATGCAAGTGGGTTTTACTTTTGTAATACTTTGATTATGATTCACATAAAAAGTCATAACTTAAAATTTTTATTTTTAGCCATCTTGGGCTTCCACTCAATGATGAATCAAGACCAATATCACGCCTCTCTGTTGAACAAAGGCCAGCCGGTCGGTTTGGGTTGGGACGGTATTACCAAAGCCTCGAAACCAAAAATTTTCCCCATGGATCCGCCCAATGACGCGGACGTTGACGACTCTATAAGACGGGTTCAAAATGACGACCCGAAGTTCATTGATCTCAACTGGAATAATATTAAGGTATATTTTCTGATAGCGTTCACCGGTGGATATTGTATGTTGCATATTTTAGAATATCTCTGACGAGAAGTTTAATAATTTATTCGAAGCTCTGGAAAATAATACGCACCTGGAAACGTTAGCGTTAGCGAATACAGGAATGACAGATCGGGGGGCCGACAGGTTAGCGCAGGCGCTCGAGAAAAACAGCCAACTAAGGGTGGTGAATGTAGAAAGTAATGTGATTTCTCCGCTGGGTGTGGTTAGACTTATCAAATCGCTGCTCAAACAGAACAGCGTCGAGGAGTTCAGGGCGACCAATCAGGTAAGCATCACGGCACACATCTGCAACTACAGACCTATGTGTAACCTAAGCTGAATTCCGAAAATTTTGGAAAAGATAATTTTTGATAATTTAGCTCAAAATTAAAATTAAAAAACTAAAAATTTTATTTAAGCATTTAGCATTTACATTATCATTACAATATAGTTTAACCTAAGAAAAATAGTAACACCAACACTTACAGTTGCTAAACTACCAAGTTTTGATTAAAAACAGTTTTCTTTACTTTGGAATTAAGACTACTGAGAGAGTCAGAAAATAAATCAATGAGTAAAATATTTGTCAGCTTGCACATTCGATTCAAAGGCGAGTTAACGCCATAGTTGGTCCTATGAAAATCAATGTTAAAAAGAGCCTTATTTCTTGCCTTAATAGGAGAAATATGAAAACCAACAGATGCCAGAAGATCTGGTGAATCCATCAAGTTATTAAGGATTTTGTGCAATGTAGCGATGTCAAAAAATATGCGCCTACTTCTTAAGGATGTCAGATTCAAAAGCTTCATAATCTCGTAGTTTATATCCTCAAATGACATTCCCAATTTAAAACCTATCCCTCTACTCTTTCCTTGTGAATTGCATAGTATAGTTGCCAGACACAGCTAGCATACTCTAAAATTGAACCCACCAGCGCACAGTACAGCTCCCTATACGTAAAGATGTTCCCAAAACCCTTCAAAGTCCGAAAAACAAACCCAAGCAATCGTCATAAAATCAATGTGATATGTAAATGTGAGCTCCGAATCCAGCCAAACTCCAAGATCTTTCACTAGGTTCTGTGTCTCGAGCGATCCAGATAATCCAATTCAATAATAATGATAATTATAATTGATTGGGAGCATCTTGTTTTTTTTTTAATGAGAGGTCCATAGAATTGAATTTGGTTACTTATGTCAACTATCTGTCGCGTGTCTTGGATGAGGATGGGGAGATGCATGCTGTCTACATCAACTTTTCCAAGGCATTCGGTAGGGTCAATCGTGGTGTATTGCTAAGTAAGCAGCCGGTCTTCAGGGAACTCTTCTCCAGTGGATAACTAGCTTACCTAACTGATAGGGACCCCGTCTAGATTCTTATGGTTTTTTGCGAGTGATCTAAAATGCTATGGGGCTATTTCCTCTCAGGATGGTTATCTTGAACTTCAATCTGATCTTGACAAAATGTCACTAAGTGCACACTTCACTATAAAACACAATATAACTGTGTTCATCTATTGCATAAATGACTTACCATTGTCTCAGGTCTTGAAACATCAGTGATCTTTATCATTATCATCAGGGGAACTACCAACATTAAGGGTTAGAAGAGGTTAGGCAGTTATTCAACTGTTTTTTTTTTTGTTCATTAATTATATGCTTTGTTCATCTAGAAATAACAGATAGAATTGAATGGTTTATTTTAGTCGATTGATATATGTTGTAGGATTTCGTTTGGTTTATATTACGCCTTACATTTTTGTCTTTGACTTTCTTGCTTAGACAGTAAGACCCGGGCTCCTCCGTTTTTTCAGTAACTACAGCTCATATTTTTCCTTTATTGCTGTTAACTACAACCTTATCTCCTTTTCTATTGATAATTGGAGTTCTTTGAGCTGTTCTATCGTATTGCAGGTCTACTTTACGTCTTTGTTCTGCTAGACACTTGAAAATGTTACAGTGAATTTTTGGCTGCAATTGTGCAAACTGGAAGTTAAGTTTCTAGCATTGGGTTTTATAATATCTGAGCTTTCGATAACATTAAGGGCTACTATAGAGGAGTTAATATATTCAATTCATAAATCCCTAAAATCTTCTTTTCATTGTCATCGCTTTGAAAGTAATTTGAAATAAATGGTAAATTATCCGTTATAATAGAATGTCCACACCTATTTTATTAAATCGAAGTTGTGGGATAGAAGAGTCTTTTCGGTTTCCAAGCATATATTTTTTGCACATAGTGTTCTCGATTTATTAATTAATAGTTTTACTAATGCCTATGCGACCTTCATGCAATACTTTTATAACGTTTAATCCGAGACTTTTTGGTACAATTACAAAAGTTGGTTTCAAAAATTGTAGTTGTAGCCTAATAGTTATTTGAGCCGCATCCATTTTTGGTCCTTCAGTTGAATTTTAAATCTTTTGTTCTAGTAGCACTCCACATTATTTTCCGCTTACCAAAGGGAACTTTGTGATTTGATCTATCTAGATTCTTGGTTAAGTTTCCACAGAGTGCTAAGTCTATTTTGTCCATTATTTAAAATACTTTTTTATTTTTGCAGCGGACGCAAATATTAGGTAACAAAATAGAGATGGAAATTACGCAGCTTATCGAAAAGAATCCTACGATTCTCAGGCTGGGCCTGCATTTAGAATATAACGACGCCCGTCACCGTATCGCGACGCACTTACAAAGGAACATTGACACAAGTAAGTTTTGGTTTATTTTTTTAATTCAAGTTAAAGTTTAGCCGATTCTATATTTTTAATTTAGTTTTTAGAAAGTCAACATTTCCGAAAATGTTTTATGTAATTGATTTTACTTTTTTAGGTGTAATGTATACGTTTTTCTTTGACTTATTTGCGCTGTTGTAACGTTTATAAGGTAATTTTGTGTTGTGCCGTTTTTCCTTTTTTCCTGAATTGGTCGATTTTTGAAATTATTTCAAAGCGATACGAGTAAAGGGATACGGGCAGTATAATTTTTTAATATTAAGTAATATGAAATATGCATCGACATTACGATTTACGATCACTAAATCTACTGAAACATTTTATATTTATATATAGGAAATATTTTGTTTCTTGCTATTTTATTATTATAATTATTATTAGTCTCAGGTTATTCTATTAACGAAGTAATTGAAAGCACGACGCTGAGGGCTATGGTATTAAAAACTATAATAAAAGTAAAATCAGATCGATATAAATACAGTGAGCGGCTGAAATATGGAACAAATTCACCTAAAAATCAGGTATTGGGTTTTAAAGGAAAATGCTGCATTTTATTCAGTAAACAGAAAATATAAAGTTCTTTTTTCAAAGGAACACCATTTTTTAAACTTCATTTTCGAATTCTGCTTCAAATTCCACGCATATCTCTTACTTTTTATGAGCAAAAGAATAAAAGACATAAATTTAATTTTGAAATAAACAAGTAAGTAGCTTGTGTCATCATGGTTTTTAAATTGTCATAATTACATTTCTATCAGCGAAGAAAGTGTATATGGCCCATCTAAATGAAACTCAGAGAATTTGAATATTCATTGCAGATGGAGACAAATCGGAAACTCAAGAAGGAGTTTATAATTTATTAGAATTCAATTAAACTCTGAATTTCTCGAAATTATAACTTGTGTAAATACGCACATACAAAGACGTCAACTCAAACGCGCAGACAAAATGGAATGAGACCGAATCCGTTTAATTTCACCTAGAGCTAAAAAATGAAATAAGAAATATTGGGATTAAGAAGTTTGTGGTGATTTCTAAGGCCGAATTGAATTTGAAAAAAACTGGAAATATTGGGCTCCAGTAAGATTTTGGTAGAAGAAATAATGTAGGTTTAATGATTTTGTTATTCAAAAATCCTGCCCAAACATTTAGTTTTCGTGGATGTTGTGTATGATTCTCTCTCATCCATTGGGGACTATTTGTACTTCAATATCTACAATTTTGTTTATTTACTGTACCATTTGGTAGTTTTATCATTAAATAGTAGAAGTCTTAAAATTTTGAGTTGATTAGCATATTGTCTGGGACATGTCCTGTTTTTTCTTTACTTACTTACTCCCAATTTTACTCGCTGTAGATGTTTAACATATTACAAATATCTTCGAGTTCCCGTTTTGTCTACATATCCAATAAAAATTTTCCGAGTTTGAATTATCATTCATTTGCTCAAAAAAAAGAGTACTTTTCCACCCACCCTGTATATTTTCTGCTTGTTGCAAAAAACGCGCAAGAAAAAATCATAATCCACGTATGCGAGCATTCTTCTCAAAATGCAATACTCGATCCATATTTTAACTGTTCATTGTATATAAAAAAATTTTTGCAATACTTATGGCATAAATAATGTTTTTGAGGTCACTAAGTGTTGCAACATCTGCGTTTGTGATATGATAATGATCTTAATTATCCGTTACTAGTCATACGCAATTTTTAATAAAACATTTTTGTCCTTAAATTTTTTTCATATGTAGAGCGACAGCGGATTAAAGCAAAATATCAAATCCATCTGGGGGCGAAAGGTGAAAAACTAAAAATAGTTAAAACGAAATAGGTCGCTTCTCAACCCGGTCGAATTCTCGTGAGTAGCTAGTTTTTATTGTTCATTTCCCTTGTTTTCGTTTCAATGGCTGTACATGAGGAACCTCACAGCTTCTCTCATCATAAAATCAACTTTGGTGTTGCTATATTAACATGTAAGGAATCAATAGCGTTGCAGTGATACAGCAAACACGTAAATACAATGTTAACACATTTTGCCGAAAATGTTTTAAACCACTTTCATTGGCACCCAAAATAATTGAGGTTTAGATATTTTTCTGATTAAATTGGATCCAAGGTTTTTTTTAAAAGTTATAGTCATGATGTCTTATTAGTTTTTTATTTTAATTTTAAAGGTTTAATAAAAGTGACGTCTTATTAAGGACATTTTCAACTCATGTGCTTGCAGTAAAATAAGACGGCTGCTTGGGATGGCGCAACTGAGATGGGGTAAAGTTCATTCAAACAAAATGGGTCACATTTTACGTTTTTTTTTTTCAAAACAAAAACGACGAGAATCTGCAAACGTTTTTCAGCTTTGAAACACTTAATATTGTTAAAAATGTTATCGTGCTACTTGTATATTTGTCGTCTGATAATAGTTACACTAGGAAGTTTTGCAAAATATCTTGATTGATTGAAATTAAAATCTGTTTCAATTCGCTGTAGCTATTAAAATTACATTTACCTTTAGCTTTAGCGAAATTTTTGTTTTTCTGTTTTTTTTTGCCCATATTGAGAATGAAAATTTTGATAGTTAACCCTAAAAATTTTCTAAAATGTCAAGAGGCCTTTTTGCTTAAGCGTTTTAAATCTCCCTCTAAAAAAATATTCGTTATTTTAATTTTACCGTTAAAGAAGCAAAACTTCCTATGGGACAAATGTTTGTGACATTAGCTGTTATTTAATTGTATTGTACTTCGTTGCGCTTTGTGCCTAATCTTCAACCCCATCTTACTTGTTGTTTCCTTCCTTTGTGGATAATTAGTTTTATTTCTTTCATTTTTTTTTATTTGTTAAGTATAGAACACTCTGTTTAATTGCTGGGTGTTAATTTAATTTGGGATATATAATTTGAAAATGTTTCCATCAAACACCAAAATTTATGCTTTAATTAGAAATATTACCGTTTTCTTTGTGTCTAATTAGAAAATAGTAATTCATAGCTCCATATTTTTGTCATAACTTTTTAAGTTTTGGTTAGTTATGAATATCGCAAAACACATCTTGTCACACTTATAAGTAACTTACATTCATTTTAACGAGCTGCGTTTTGTCTAACAAATGCTCTGTCTGTTTGTGTATTAATATCTTCACCTCGCTATATTCGCATATGTGGAGGTAAATTATATCGATGTCGTATTTGAATTTTCGTCGCTCATATTGGTTTTAAGGGACAAATCCAATTGTTTTCATTATAATGATTAGCTTATAGTTTGTGGGTTTTAATCTTTTACTTAAATTACAAGAAAATGTATATGCAATATCAAAAGTTGAATAATCAAGAGTTATTTCGCGTCCGGTAAGTTTAAATTGTCCATTTATGTGTCTCATATGATGGTGAAACTAGGTACAACATCGCAGATTGTAATTACAATAGTAAAAAATGATTAATTAAAAATCATGTGCCTTGCGTTCAATTTATGTCGATAACGTTTTAATTGGCTGTAACTTTTTATTCTGAAAGATATCCAGATAAACAAAAAAACAAAATGTAACAAAATTCTTTAACTATTCAAAATACTGCTGTATGTTCCTGAACAAATTTCTCATACAGTCTGACGTTTCCGGATTGTCTCTTAACTGATTGATTGTCTCTCGAAATCCTTTGGCGAAGTTCCACAACATTATTACAAGGAGTTCTGTGCACTTGATTTTTTATGTGTCCCCCAAAGAAAAAATCCATTAAAGTTAAATTTTTAACTGGCATAAATTTGTGAGGATCGGCACCATTTTGCCATCATTAATTAATTGATTGGTACCCCTGGGTTTTTATTTCGTGTATTTTTCTAGGATTATTTAAAGACCAGTATCTCGTATTTTGTCTATTGCAACCCTATCTTATAGTGAACGAACTTTCATCAGTCCATAAAATGTTTTTCAAAAAATTATTATTTTCATTATGTCTATTTCAAAAATCAAAACAAAACTGCATCCTCCTTTGACATTGTTCTGCACTTAGTTTTTGAGTTTTACGAAATTTAAATGAAGATATACGTGTCTCTTCATATACTCTAGTAATATTTTGCTGCAAATTTCTTTGCCAACCTTGAAAATATCTGTTTAATATACAGACGACGAGCTGCGGTTGCACTTTTATTATTCAAAAAGTATACTTGAAGCATACCACTCCTTTCGCGGATGCTAAATTAGAGAAAAACCATTTTAACAATGATGACTTGGACAATAATTCAACCATCAACGAGTGTGTTACATCATTGTAATCGGAATTAGATATTCTATTAAAAACGTATATAATATACAGGGCGTGCCATTTAAAAAAAATATGATGTAGGCTTATATGTCAGAAAATTGATTGTGTTTTGTTTTATACGCCACTTGGAAAATTACTTTAAATTATTAACTCTATATTTTGTTTTTTTTTTACGTTGGTATCTTTAAAAAGAAAAAAATACAGCCATTTAATAATAATAATAATAAAAATAATAATAATCTTTTTTGTCTAACAGATTAACGTCCATTTAGAAGACAATTTCATCTTGAGAACTATAACTATAATTATAATAAGTAGTCAACTATGTACACTCCACCAAATAATAGTACAATATTTGAAATTTTCGTTTAATTATGATGGTAAACTGTGAGCGACTAAGACAAATAACGTCAATTTCATTGCAAAGTTATTAAATATTTTCATCAGCTGACAGAGAAAACCTTTAATCAAAAAATTGGTTCTTGGAGTTACTATTACCATTTATATGAAAGTGAAGAAATTTTAGAAACTTTCTCTGTACGTTTTCAATTTGTGTGATGTACTTATCATATCAGTTTTGTTCGGAAATGTCATTGCGAAACATTTATCTGTATTCAGGGGTAGGTTACTAGAACCACACCGAGAACCAATGATCTCCAAATCAATTATTCTAAACAATTTCACATCATCAGCAAAGAGCAAAATTTGACTATCAAAATCATTA